TCAGATGATCTCTGGACAGGGTGTAGACTGTGAACAGCCACCGCTGGAGGGGCCGCAACCTGAGCCTCGCATGGTGGACATGGTGGCCGCCATGTTGCCCAACAGCCGGAGGCCATGGTTAGGGGATATGCCAAGATGCTGGCAATGAGACTCGCCATCGTCTTGAACCTGTCCTGTGGCAGAAATGCTCTGGCAAGGGTGGAGTCGAGAACTGCTCCAATGAATTCTATTCTTTGTACTGGGACTAACGTTGATTTTTCCTCGTTTATCAACAGGCTCAGGGCATGGCACGTGAGCTGCAGCACTGAGATATCTTGCTGGACTTGAGACCTGGAATGGCCCTTGATAAGCCAGTCGTCGAGGTACGGGTAAACCTGGATGCCTCGCTGCCTGAGGTAGGCTGCCACCACTGCCATGCATTTGGTAAACACCCTCGGGGCTGTAGCCCGGCCAAACGGGAGCACCGTGAACTGGTAGTGGGTGAGACCCACCGTGAAACGCAGGAATTGCCTGTGTCCTGGGAATATCGATACGGGGAAGTACACGTCTTTCAACTCGAGGGCGGTGTACCAGTCTCCCTGATCCAGGGTGGGAATGATGGAGGCCAGGGATACCATGCGGAACTTCAACTTCTTGAGATACTTGTTGAGGTCTCACAGGTCCAGAATGGTCTCAGACCCCCTTTGGCTTTGGGGATCAGAAAGTACTGGGAGTAGAATCCCTTACCCCTGTACTCCTGAGGGACTTCCTCCACAGCCCCCACTTGCAGAGGCTCTGAACCTCCCGGGTGAGCAGCTGCTCGTGAGAAGGGTCCCTGAATAGGGACAGGGAAGGGAGGTGGAAATAAACTGGAGGGTATAACCCTGCACCACGGTGTCGAGGACCCAACGATCCGAAGTTATAGAGGCCCATGCAGGGAGGAAAGGAGACAGGCGGTTGGAGATGCACGGGGAAGCACCCTCAAAATGCCCGCTTCCCACCCTGTTGGTGTCAGGTGGATTTACAGGGAAAGCGCGTATCTACGGACTGACAGAAGAGGCTTGCCGAAGCAAGATGATGTTCCAGCACCGTCACTGGCGGTAAGAAGGAACTGAGGGTGGGGGAGCTAGCACCCCTTATACCGCGTCATACAGGCGCCACTCCAGAGGGCGCCAGAGCCGGGAAACACTTCCAGCGCTGGTGCATGTGGGGAGCACACACCTACTATGGAATGGACACGAGCAAGCACTTGAAGAACTAAGGCCTTCTGCTCAAATGTCGCATGGCTTTTTGGCTGGATAAAAATGCATTGGACACAAACCAGTCACAAATTAACGGGCAGACGTTGTTGTACTTTGAGCTATTCGGAGAGCAGACAGAAGGCAACGTTGGTCACTGGGAAATAACCTCCCGTGGCAAATCCTGCACTGGTAAACACGGTGAGGCCTGCACTACTCACGGGGTTGGGGCTGGTAGCGCTATGGGAGAGGGGTGAGCAGGGCAGCCCCCCCTTATACTGCTCTAGAGGTGCCTTCTACCTATCCAGCTTCCTCCCCTTCCCGTACAGGGCTAGCTAGAGCAGAAGTGCATTTATATTGATTTCACTGTGGCCACACTGGGGGTTGATTGGTCAAAAATCACAGCCCCAGCAAAGCACAACTGGTGCATAGACAGGGCCAGCCGCCGCCCTTGGGAAGAGAATCACTTTCAAAGACTGCTTCTGGTCACCCCGAAGATTGAGTCCCACTCCCACCAGCCCAGCACTCAGTCCAGTGGGCTGCTCCCAAGCTATAACCAGAATGATACCGGGGGGCCCGGGCAGAGCACACGACAGCACAATCCTGAGGCTTGAATCTTCGTCCCTGAGTAGTCTCCATGGACTGGGGGCTTGGGGGAAGCTCCTGCCCCTTCCTAGTTCCCAGGGATCTCAGAAAAGCAAGAAGACAGGAGCTGGGTTACCATCAAAGGGCTGGTGGTCACATCAGTCAGGAGAGAGACTCCAGCGTTGGTCACCCTTCCAAAACTCCTGGTGTCTCAACCCAAGAACAAGCCAACCCAGGGCTTTCCTTGCCCTGCCCGTTTCTGCTGTGAGCAAGGAGATGGCTTTAAACCAGGTGTCTGGATTGTGAGGTCATTGAGCATCATCAGTGAGGTGCCTGACATAAGGTGAGATGTCATTGTGCAAGGAACTGCATGCCAGCAGGAATGGGGCAGACTAATGCTTCATGCACCTGGCAGAAATGGCCCAAAAGGTTGGCCTGAGTGGTTAGCCAATGTTCAAGGCATTTCTGGGTTGGAGGAGATATAGATAATGGAGTCAGAACGTACAGAGTTTGGTTTCCCTGAACGAAGGAGGAACAAACAGCAGCAGGCAGTTTCCAGGTCAGAAATCCAAGCCTGCTTTCCAGCTAGTCTTGTGCCCAAAAGAAACTCTCTGTCATGGCTTCCTCCTAGGGCCACACTCCTACTGCTTCTCTTGCTGTCTGGTCCTGTCTGCTTCTCATACTTCCAGATACGCACAGCTACCAGCCAGTGCCCCAATATCTGCATCTGCAGTTGGGCCCAGGGAGCCCTCATTCTACCTGGATTAGTTCTTGCTCATGCCTTCCCATGGGGCCTAGTGCTGCGGCTTCTATTGGTTCAATGCCTTTTAAACCAGGGGCCACTGAAGTGCTCCCCCAGGAAGCTGGAATGAAGTGTGGCTATCATGGCCCCCAGTGTCTGCGAGGTCTGTGACTGCCTGGAGGTCAAAGACACTACAGGAACAGCCTCCATCATGGTCCAGTAGCCCATGTGCTGTATGTGGAGAGACAGTGGAGCTCAGCTGTGAGTAGGCGCTGGAACAGTTTGTACAGTGGGGGAGCTGAGAGTCATTGAACCAAACTGTAAACCCTGAATAGGATAGAAACCGCTTCAGGTCAGGGGGTGCTGCAGACCCATGGCTGTGAACGATGGGGAGGGCTCCCATCTCCCGAAGGCCATGGGGTGCAGCGAAGCCAGAGCCACACACTGCACGCCAGAGATTTTTCAAAGACATGGTTCACTGCCCAAAGAACATAGAGTCCCTGTTACCTGGAGGGGGGTGAGTACAGGAGGGGAGCGGCTACAGGTAAGGGCAGACGTGGGGGCGAAGGCGGATGTGGGTGTGCCAGGGCGAGGGGGGACGCAGGGGGTAAGGTGGGGGTGCTGGGGCGAGGGCGGACACGGAGGTGCCAGGGCTAGGGTGGACACGGGGGCAAGGGTAGACGCGGTGGTGCTGGGGCGAGGGCAGACGCAGGGGGTGATGTGGGAGTGCTGGGGCAAGGACGGATGAGGGGGGTGCTGGGGTGAGGGGGTGCCAGGGCAAGGGCAGATGCGGG